GCGCACGAAGGCGCCCACAGGAATGGCGAAAAAGAGGCTGCACATTACGATCGATGCCCATGACAAACTCATGCTCATCAAAAAGTGCAGTGACGGTTCGGTAAATGGGTCTGGTGAAGGGGGAGGAGACAAAGTGAACCGTTCCCGCTGCAGTTTTGGGGGGAAGGCGCTGAGGCTGATGGCATTGAGGACGAACAGGACCCAGACATCCAGCTCCTCGACTTTCTCCAGTGCGTGGTGCTCCGAAGCCTCGACCCCTCTCCACGAGCCCGAATTGCATCTCGACGCATTTGTTGTTCGGCCCTCAGGCCCGAAACTAAATACGACGACACACTGGCCGCCTCGATGTTGATCAAGGCGCAGGGATTCCATATGCATGTATATATATATATATGTACACGTAGAGAGAGGGAGAAAGAGAGAGAGGGATAGAAATAATAAACGAGAGAGAGAGAGAGAGAGAGAGCGAGAACGATTTCCGCGGGGTGGGGGGTGGGGGGGGCTAGGTCTGGGCCCCATGCAACGGCAACGCTAGGGTGGGATGGGGCATGTCGGGGAAGGGTTGCGCTGCGATCGCCGCAATATGCGCACGTTGTGGGGATTGCCCGGCCCCCCCCCTCCAGAACGCACGATCGTTACCGTTATCGGGGGGGAGGGGCTCGGGGGCTCGGGTAGGCTCGGGTAACGACCGCTACGCGCCAGAGGACGAGCAAAAAAGTCACCGGATGTCTGTAGACAGTGACTGAGGCTTTGAAGCACTATCCAAAGACGAATGCCTGGCCAACTCGGAGTGCACTGGACGTGATCTCTCTCTCTCTCTCGAGGGAGAGAGAGAGAGAGAGAGAAAGAAAAAAAAAAAAAGATCGAGAGAGAGAGAGAGATCGAGAGAGAGAGGGTCCGTGACTACTGACCCTGGTCAATCAGACCCCGATCAGTCACGCCTTGCAGGATCCTGCACGCTAACCCGGGTCAACGCAGCCCTGGCGCTGCAGGATGCTGCAAGATCCGTCGCTCTGGCTGACCCCCGTTTGCATTGACCCCCGTCTATTGAAAACCGAGTGGGGTTCATCCTACTTCTGATGGCCTTTTTGAACCGAGCTCCCGCGGTGACGCCGACAGCGAGTCCTGCTCAAAATAAGCAGCAACTGCTGTCGGTCTTTAGAAACATGATTTCCGTTCCCGTTTAGAAGGACAAAACACAGCGTAAACATCAACTTTCGACGCTCCTCCCTGGCGCGCGGAGCGCGCCAGTGGCGGCGCCAGAGGCGCCGCTGGGGGGTGCTGGGGGGGGACCCAGCGTGGATCCAAGAAATCCGCGCGGAGCGCCAGACATCTATGTTTATGCCGTCTTTTCTCCTTCGACTTTGGACAATTTTTTTCCGTACTCCGAGTTTCTTAATAGGCGTCGGAGGGGCGTCACCCCCGCCGACAGCCCCACATGGACCCCCGTCGCGGTCAGCCACCGCACGCCGAAGGCGCTCCGACCCCCGTCGCGGCGCGACGAGGCGAGGTTGACCCCCGTCGGGGGGCTACCCCCCCCGCTTATGAAGGAACCCAGAGTACCCGTCTCGATCGTCCCGAAGAGGGAGGAGTCCCTGTTTTGCGAGCTTCCTCGGCGGCGTGCACGGTGGGTTTTGACGCGAGTGGGGCGGCCCCCCTCCAAGAGGGCGGGGGCCACTCCCGGAAGGAAGGGCTGGCTACCTACCAGACCACCCCAACCCAACCTTCATATAGCTCAACGACTACAGAATTGAATTACATACGAATTGAAAAATCAAGTAAAATTTTACTTGGTGTTTTTTGTTCACGATGGGGGAGGCTGGAAAATATGATGCTGATGAATGGGGGCGGGCGATGTGAGAGATCCGAAGACATGTGAGGCGGGATCGAACCAGGGAGGATACGATTGAGAATGATGATGTGCCAGAGGGACATTAGAAGAGTAGGGGAAGGACGGCGCCGACGGTCGGCATGGCTGGAGTGGCGCGTGGGAACCACGCCCGCCTCATGTCGCAGCAAGCAACTGCGGCAACGTCGCCCATCGAGGCTGCATGTGGCTCAGGCACGTCCGTGAGATTTTGAACTTTGTGTGAGGCCACAATCCTGAACATTTCGTTGGATGCGAAAAACAAAACAAAACAGCAATGACATGGGCGCGGGCACCTCCTTATTCCCCCTCCCTAAGTAAGAGAGGAGTAGACAACGCGCGCATCACCGCTAGAGTATGCACATTATAGAAATAAAGCAGGGTACCGATACGCGTCACAGAGCAGCAGACTGGACGTAATCTCCATAGGGGAGGAATAGACCAGAGAAAACACGAGAGTTAGTGCATGCGTCGAGCAAGTTTGTTCCAGTAATGCGGAAGGTGAATCGAGTACGACTGGCTCCTGAGCAACGAAGCGCGAAACCCACATGAGCACCGACGAGTACTCCAGAACAGGAAGGAGTCATGTGAAACCAGTGTGTGGCATGTGGTAGTAGGACGACGTAGAGCTGGTATATACTCATCGTGACGAAAAGCCATACCATGTGCAATTGGGAGCGCAGCATTTGTGAACACCCTCCTCGGTGAAACCTCCTACGGGGCAACGCATCGGCAAGTGTCACTGGCGCGTCCCTTTCAGCTCCACATGCGGCTACGAAGCGCGCGCGGGGTGCGCCACAATGCGTGTGTGTGTGTGTGGTCTGTGTGTGTGTGTGTGTGTGTGTGTGTGCGTGCGTGCGCGTGTCTGTGTGTGTGTGTGTGTTGGTGTGTGTGGTGTGTATAAGTGTGGTGCTGGTGGTGGTGGGTGGTGGTGGTGGTGGTGGTGGTGGCGATGGTGGTGGTGGTGGTGGTGGTATGTGCGTGTGTGTGCGCGTGTGTGTGCGTGCGTGTGTGTGTGTGTGTGTTGATGCTGGTGGTCGCGGTGGGTGGGCGGGCGGAGTGAATGGGAGGGTGTGGGGGGAGGGGGCGGGAAGGGGGGGGGGCATGCTAACGTCGTCACTTGGGCCTTAGATGGGGCTCCTCATGGGCCACGAGCCGTCTGAGGGGCGCGTCGTAACGGGCGACGCGGGCGCGCGTAAACGTCGCCGTCGGGGCTTCAAGCGAGGCCCCCCGTGGGGCCACGGGACGCGTTAGCGGTGCGCCGTGATGCGTGGCGCGGGTGCACGCAGTGGTTGCCAGTGGAGCTATAGGCGGAGCTCCCTACGCGGCCACGAACCGCGTGAGCGGTGTGCCCTTCTTGGGGGCGCGGGCGCGTGCATACGTCGGCGCTGGGGCCTTACGTGGGCCTCCCTATGGGGCCGCGGACCGTGCGAAGTGTGCGCCGTAATGAATGGCGCGGGCGCATGTGCACGTCGCCATTGGGGCCTTCGGCGGCGCTCGCTTTGGGGCCATGAACACTGTGACAGGCGCGCCGTCATGGGCGGCGCAAGCGCATGCAAACATCGCCGGTGGTGCCGTACAGGGAGCTCGCTGCGTGGCCACGAACGGCGCGCGGGTGCGCTGTCATGGGCTGCGCGGGCGCATGTAAACGCCGCCGCTGAGGCCTTCGGTGGAGCACCCTATGGAGCGTTGGCGCATGTAACATCGCCACTGCGGTCTTGGGTGGAGCTCCCCATGACGGCACGAAACGTTTGAGGGGCGCGCCGTTGCGGGCGGCGCGGACGCATGTGGACGTCGCCACTGGGTGGATTTGGCGGAGCCCCCCATGGGGCTGCGGACCGCGCGAGGGGCGCGTCGCCATGGGTGGCGCCGACGTATGTCAACGTCGCCGCGGGGGCTTTACGTGGGGATCCGTACGGGGCCATGAAGCGCGTGATGGGTGCGCCGTAATGGGCGGCGCGGACGCATGCAGACGTCGCCACTGGGAACTCGCATGCAATTCCCTACGCGGCCACGAAGCGCGTGGAGGGGTGCGCCGACATTGACGCACGGAGCGCAGGACAGGGGCGGGATGATTGGGGGGAGGGGGAGGGCGGGAAGTAAGGTGACGCGTGGCGCCGTCGCTTCAGACCGAGGGCCCCGACGCAGAATTGCTTTGGGAACTGATGCAGTGGGGGTTGCAGAGGGCATGGCAGAAGTGCACAAACCTGTTGGAACAAGGGACGGGGTTGGGCAGACGCACTGCGGCCCTGGGCTCGCGCGATCGCGACGTAGGCCTTGTGGGCCGACAAGCAACCCGACGCTTCCCAGGCAGCGGGGCAACGCTGTGGGATGCTGCGCCGCGGCGCGTCAACGATGTCTTCCAGCATGGCAATTGCAATCAGAGCCCGTCGGCGAAGAATGGCGAAAGTAGAGCGGGAGGAGCGTCCGATCGGAATATGGATTGCATTGGCAGGGCAAAACCAAACTAGAACCCCCCCCGCCTCCTTCCCCCTCCCGCATGTGCCCCCCCCCCCTTCCCGTTCGCAACGCCCCGCCCGCCGCTGCCCCGCTCCCCCCCGGCGGCCCACCGCCGCTTTCCCGCGCGCTGCCAAGCCCGCGCGCCATCAGGCCCTGTCGGCCGCAAGCCAAGCTCAACCATCTCCCTTATCGCCCCCTGCCGCTCGCCCACGGCGCCCGCCGGTATCCGCGGCGCGCCTTGCAATCGCTCGCTGCCCGCCTCTGCGCTTCCACGTCGGGCATGCTCGGGGTCGGCCATCGGGCGGCGTCACCGCCCCGAAAGGCCCCGCGCCCTCGACCAATCACCCCGGCGCAACATGCGCAACCGCTTGCCCGCCGCAGCCGCCCGCTCGCCCGCCTGGGAGGGGGGGGGGCACGGGGTGCCAAGGCGCACACGCCTGATGTGCCGCCAAGGTTCGCACCGAAATATAATACGGAAAGGCCCGCTCCGCAATCGGCGGAGGGGAGGGGGGGGGGAAGTAGGGGGGGGGAAACGATCGCGAAGGGGCGGGGGGGGGGAGGGGGGCGTCGTTAAATCGAAAAGCCGGGGGGGGGGGGGGGGGGGGGAATCTGAAGGACGGGGGCGGGAAAGGGGGGGGCTCTGCAAAAACTGGAAGGACGGGAAAGGGGGGGG